ACACACAGACACACAGACACACAGACACACAGACACACAGACACACAGACACACAGACACACAGACACACAGACACACAGACACACAGACACACAGACACACAGACACACAGACACACAGACACACAGACACACAGACACACAGACACACAGACACACAGACACACAGACACACAGACACACACACAGACACACAGACACACAGACACACAGACACACAGACACACAGACACACAGACACACAGACACACAGACACACAGACACACAGACACAGACACACAGACACACAGACACACAGACACACAGACACACAGACACACAGACACACAGACACACAGACACACAGACACACAGACACACAGACACACAGACACACAGACACACACACAGACACACAGACACACAGACACACAGACACACAGACACACAGACACACAGACACACAGACACACAGACACACAGACACACAGACACACAGACACACAGACACACAGACCACACAGACACACAGACACACAGACACACAGACACACAGACACACAGACACACAGACACACAGACACACAGACACACAGACACACAGACACACAGACACACAGACACACAGACACACAGACACACAGACACACAGACACACAGACACACAGACACACAGACACACAGACACACAGACACACAGACACACAGACACACAGACACACAGACACACAGACACACAGACACACAGACACACAGACACAGCAGACACACAGACACACAGACACACAGACACACAGACACACAGACACACAGACACACAGACACACAGACACACAGACACACAGACACACAGACACACAGACACACGCACCCACGCACCCACGCACCCACGCACCCACGCACCCACGCACCCACGCACCCCCGCACCCCGCACCCACGCACCCCGCGCACCCGCGCACCCACGCGCACCCACGCACCCACGCACCCACGCACCCGCGCACCCGCGCACCCGCGCACCCGCGCACCCGCGCACCCGCGCACCCGCGCACCCGCGCACCCGCGCACCCGCGCACCCACGCACCCACGCACCCACGCACCCACGCACCCACGCACCACGCACGCCGCACGCACACGCACGCACGCACGCACGCACGCACGCACGCACGCACGCACGCACGCACGCACGCACACGCACGCACGCACGCACGCACGCACGCACGCACGCACGCACGCACGCACGCACGCACGCACGCACGCACGCACGCACGCACGCACGCACGCACGCCGCACGCACGCACGCACGCACGCACGCACGCACGCACGCACGCACGCACGCACGCACGCACGCACGCACGCACGCACGCACGCACGCACGCACGCACGCGCACGCACGCACGCACGCACGCACGCACGCACGCACGCACGCACGCACGCACGCACGCACGCACGCACGCACGCACGCACGCACGCACGCACGCACGCACGCACGCACGCACGCACGCACGCACGCACGCACGCACGCACGCACGCACGCACGCACGCACGCACGCACGCACGCACGCACGCACGCACGCACGCACGCACGCACGCACGCACGCACGCACGCACGCACGCACGCACGCACGCACGCACGCACGCACGCACGCACGCACGCACGCACGCACGCACGCACGCACGCACGCACAAAGCAAACACAGACAAAACAAGCTAAAACACAAAGACACCAAACAAGCGCACAAACAAACAAGCAAAGGAACGAACGAACGAACGAAGAAACACTCAAACACACACACACACACAACAAACAGGCAAGCAAGCAATCGAGCAAGCAAATGGCATAGAGACTAGATTGTTCGTGCGATCGTCCTTGTGTGTGTGTGTGTGTGTGTTTTTGTTGTGTGTGTGCGTGCGTGCGTGCGCGTGCGTGCGTGCGGGCGGGTGTGTGTGTGTGTGTGTCTCTGTGTGTGTGTCTCTGTGTGTGTGTGTCTCTGTGTGTGTGTGTCTCTGTGTGTGTGTGTGTCTGTATGTGTATGTGCGTGTTTGTTTGTTTTGGTTTTTGAGTTTTTCTGTGTTTATGTGTTTTTGCTTCTTTTTTTCACAAGGGCCAGTTGCTAAGGCTCAAGCGGCTCATGAACGAGGCTCAATTCATTGCCTCGCAGGACCCATACAGGCTGGGGAATTTTTTGGGTCCACCATTTTGAGACAAACCCACTTGCCTTTGAAGAAACCAACCACGACAACCTGTAGCCTTTCTTGGAGACCTCTAGATCAGTGGAAAAGCTGCAAGCCTTGCAAGTTGGAGCCATTCTTTGGCGCCAAACTTTGAACACGAGCACACGGATGTTGCCGTAGTATGCCGTAGTTGCACAATTGCCAGGCTTGACCTGCAATTGATCAAGCTGGGCTTTTATTGGGACCTCGTCACCTTTTCTTGGGTTTGTCCCAAAATGGAGCCCCACACTGGGTTGGCGTACACCGGATCATTTCACACTCATGCCTCTGCAAGGTCATTTTGCCAAAAGACTGAGGGAAGCACATGCATTTGTGAATGGCCCCACCTTTCATTTGAGTGACTCCAACCCAAGCAGGTGACATGTGGCGTTTGTGCAGAGTGAAAAGAGGACATCATATCCGCTGAGAATGGTAGTGGCTCCTGCGATGAATCGGAAGCTTAGTCAGGCTTAGTCATATCCATATTGAACAAGGACGTATCATTTTTTTCCAACCAGAAAAGGTTTGCATTGAGTGATTGCCCACCACGAAGTCGTTTTGGACTACATGCTTTTGCACGTATGATGTAGTGTCCCGTGAAACCAGGTTTGTTGTCATGTCGGTGCAAGACGTCGCTTGTCGGCTTCCAACAACTCTTGGTGGGTATCGTACCAATGATCAAATTGCCAGCAAGAAAGGTGTGCTTGTGTTTTGCGCATGCCGAGTCGAATGAAGACTCGAAGGCGCATTTCCAGGTGTGAGCAACACCAGGCAACAGACAGCTTGCACCACCTCGACACAGCTACCCCACGAAGTCTAGTACAACCTAAGTCTTTGCGGGCTTTACCCTCCCTTATGCTTTTTGGGGCATCTTTCAAGTGTGTCTTCTAGCGGGTCCAACATGCTTCATTTTGTTTGGCAGATGGTTTGGGTATTCGAACCCCTGATTGCTGTGTCGAGTTGATTGAGGGCCACCCACAAAACCGTATACGTTTCTGGGGCAGATTCCAATGTCACCTTGATACGTCCAAAGGCTGGCTGCAGACACGACGTTTCGGCAAAAGCTATGGCAAGCATGATAGCAAAGGCGACGACGCCGGGCCAAAACTCGGCCTGCGCAAGTAGCTGCAAGTGCACAAAAGACTCACCGCCAGACTTGGCGATCAGCAGGGCTTGCGTCTCGGCCGGGTTGCAGGGTTCTGTTTTGAATGCTGCCCGGGAGGTTTATGGAGCTGGTGCGTGCGGAAGAGCTCTCGAGCTTTCTGAACCGCTCCGACAACTCCGTGGTCTCCAGGGAGGAGGTCTCCCAGCACCTCGGATCTGAAATCTGAAACGGTGGGCAGTGGGAGTTGGGGTCTTTTTGGGGTTGGAACCCTGTTTTGGGGCTGGCTCAAAGGGGAAGAAGCCGTCTGAAGCCATGTTGGGAATCCGTCAGTGAAGTGACTCGGACTGGGGGGAGAGGGAATTGCACTGAGCTGAGGTTGGGAGAGGCCTTGGCAGCAACGTTGAACGCAGGCCAGGCTAGAAATGAGAATATTTTTTTGCTTCTCAGGGTCGTTAAAAAAAGGAGAGTGCTTTTATCGCAATAGTTATTCATGCTCTCTCATTTTTCCTGACCCATCGTGGTCTCAGCGGCTGCTAATCTCTCCCTTGATCGGACAGAATAAAGCCAACAAGTCGGCATTTCTGCAATGAAACACACAAATATGACAGTTGTGCCGGCCCCAAGACTCACAAACCAAAATGATTGGGGGATAAAACCCCGTAGAACGGATGTCCACGAAAGGGTCCCAATTCAAAGTCATGCCGAGTCGTACCTTTGCAGGTCGCGGCGCGAGGACCGACTACACGGCACCGCTAAGACACTCAGAGGAGAAGGTGCCGATCGATGTGTCGGATGCTATTGGAATGGTTCAGCAGGCAGGCTGTTGCTCGGGCAGTTCAAATCTAAGGAGATTTCCGTTATCCCCCATATAAGCAATGTAATGCAACACAGAGCGATTAAGGCTTGCATCCCCCGACTTTGTGGGGGTAGTGGTTTGAGGCTGGAATTGAAACTCTGTTTGAAAGGTTTGGCCTCACATGCGCAGCCCTGAGGCCATGCGAGATGTCGTGGAGTCTTGGACTGAAAACGTGGTGACAGGGGAAAACAAAACCGCAAGGACCCCAAGTGATTGCACCCCACCTTTTCATTCAATCTATTGCGCAGCCTGGTGCAGAACTGAGCAGGTTTAGTCCTTCTTCAATTTTGCCTGCATCCTGGCATCGCATCTGAGACCTACGCCTGGCGCTGCCGAGCCACGACGTTTCTGATGGTTTAGCTCCGTGTTCAAACCGGAACTTTGGATAATGCCGGGCTGGCAAGTCATGGATCACCGGAGAAACTTGCTTTCTTTCCTTGACGCAGCAAAAGGGAACACAGTGTCGTGCTACTCCGTGTTCAGAAGTTGAGATTTCTGATCCGAACATGGTCGAAATTTAGATCTGACGTTAATATCTCCTGTTGCTGTTGAGCTTCCATTATCACCCAGCGCATCAGAAGGTTCTCCTGGGTCATTTTGGCGTTGCCGCTGCGCCTGTAAATGACGGCACGAAGGCTTCATCCTTCGTGGCGAGATGAGCTAACGAGCTTTGCGAGAAACAACATGAGCCGAGGGGCGATTGGAGAGCAAGGTAACGAGCTACGGTTGATTCTCTAAGCAGTGCAACATAAGCAACCATAATGCATGGTATTTTGCCGGCTTTTCTTCTCCTTATGTGCAGCCGGTTTTGTGACCGCAGAGAAGAGAAGAGTGCTTGTCTGCTTTCAGGCTTGGTCGGATGACAATCGCTTTCACCGCGAAGATGAGAGGCACCAAAGTTGACGCTTTTAATGTCAGGAAAAGCAAGGGGAACGCGATGCTTTCGTTTCGATCGCTCCCTTGAAAAACCCAAGTTCTATGGTTTGTGCTTTGGCCAGGCCGGTAGTGGTGTACAGTGACTGGAAGGACCAGGTGCGGCCCAAGCTTGCAATCGGAAAGCCAAAAAGGGGTCCGTTTCCCAAAAGGAGTTTCTTCTGATGGGCCTTGGAGGTCCGTTACTCGCTTTGTAGACCTTGGACTTCTCACAGTCCCTTGAGCTTGACCAACGGCATCCAGTGAGTACAATTCTGGACTAGCAGGCTCATCGATTTGGGAAGCGAGCCCCATGAAGCTTCGTTGGGGCTTCCGAATTCACAGTTTGTAGTTGCTTACATTAAACTGAGATTCCTTATTTCCCAGGAACAGTGACATGGCATTACAATATTTCCATATTCTCTCTCTCTCTCTCTCTCTCTCTCTCTCTCTCTCTCGCTATTTTTAAAATTATTATTGCAGATATTTCGTTGTTTGTTTGTTTGTTTGTTTGCTTGCTTGCTTGCTTGCTCGTTCGTTCGTTTGTTTGTTTGTGCGTTTGTGTGTTTGTGTGTGTGTGTTGTGTGTATCTCAGGTTGGAGGCTGCTCCCTTGCGGATCAGAGCTGCACAAATCGATCCTTAGATGGAGGCTATACCGGCTATGTATCACTAACGAATCTTCCAGCCTTGGACCTCTTTTTTATTGGTTTTTCCCCGCAGATCCCTGAGGTCAGTTTCCCTCCAATCGGTGGTTCGATTGGGTGGTTTGGACGTTGGGGGGGTACCTTCCTTTGGTTCTAAAAGCTACTGGGGTTCGGATCCCAAAGCCCCCAATCCAAACCACCAACGCAGGAGCGAATGCAACCCGCCCTATCCCCGGGTTGCCCACCCGGAGGGCCCAAAGCTTGGCTTTTGTGTCCCGCCAGCTTAGCACGCCCCCCATGCCTCCAGGCCATTTGTGGTGAAAGCTTCCCAGGAAGTCCAGAACCTCGTTTCACCCACCCGTCCAAAGCTTGTCGTTTGTTGCTTTTCCGCTAACCCCCCAGATTGACATGGCGTTTACCAAGTCTTTGGTGGGTTTGGGCTCAGCTTCATGTTTTCCTCCACGCCAGGCCAGGAGCCGTTGCACATGTGGCGCTACGTTCCTGCTCGGTGGCAAAGCCGTCGCTTGATTGGCGTGCCATGTTGGCATCCTTCAGCAGCGGCAATCCAGATGCTGGATTCATAGGGTGAGACCCAACAAATGATGCGGATATCCATTATTTTTTACACCAAGGTGAGAAGGGTGCCCTGACAGAAACGACACACCCACAGCACCCTCCCACCCACGTTCAGAAGGCCCCTTGAGGAACATGGTTTTGCGGGTGCCAGTCAGATTCCACAACTAGAGGGTAGTCACGGCATCCGGCTCATAAACAGTTCGTTCAGCAATTTTTGCTGTCAAGAGGGACCCCCTCACAAAACAAAAACAAATGCATGGTTTTCCCCTTGGTTTCCATTTGAACCAGCTCAACAATGCATGGTTTTTCCTTTGGTTTCCCTTTGCACTAGCTCGAAGAAGGTACCCTCTCAACAAGTCCCAGGCACGAAGAATTGGAGCTCGCAGCTGAGGCCGGACTCGCGCTTCTGCCGTCATTGCGGGCGCCGCCGCTATGAGCAGGCGCAGATGGCGGGCGTTTCGCGCTCGTGGGCATTTGGAAGTGAGGATTCGCTTCACTTTGAGCTTCGAGTAGGGATTTACCTCCACCATGTTTGAGGGTGTTTCAACAATTCAAACTCATGCGCGTTATGCCGAGCAATGCTTGTCCTTTGGCAGGTGCGCTACGAAGCAGATGGGGAAGGCGGGGACGGGCTCTCTGATCCGTGCGGACTTGATTTTGGTTCCCCGTCCTGTTTCCCCAAAATGCCCTTGGAGGAAGGTTGCAGGGGGCTCGGAGAGGGGGTTGAATCCCATTCGGCCTAGGATCGCCGATGTCGCCGGTGAAGGCCTGGGGTTTGGGTTGGTATGCGTGTGCGAGGGTTTGGCAATGGTTTTCTCTTGCTTTACGGGTTGGATTTTCCTGCAAGTCAGGTCCCTGCAAAAAGGACATCTATTGGACATCCAACACATGAGGTGTGTGTGTGTGTGTGTGTGTGTGTGTGTGTGTGTGTGTGTGTGTGTGTGTGTGTGTGTGTGTGTGTGTGTGTGTGTGTGTGTGTGTGTGTGTGTGTGTGTGTGTGTGTGTGTGTGTGCGTGTGTGCGTGTGCGCGCGCGTTTTGTTCTTCCATGGACAAAGCTTTCAAAGCACACAAAACTGCTACCAATCCAAACACACCCCTCCTGCGCCGCCCGCGCAAGGACCTGGAGCGGGACGTCCGGCCTGCCACGGACGGGCGACGGGAAGGTGGAAGGAGTTTGGCCAAGGATGGGGTTAGGTCCGGAAACCTACCCCCAGGATCACTCATGCACATGTACAATCTAAATACATACATGTAAACATATATATATATATACATGTAAATATATATATATATATATATATATATATGCACATATATATATATATATATATACATTACATTACACCACATTACATTTGACTTTCACATCACAGTATGCTAACCCTACCTTTCCTTACCATACCTTACCATACCTTACCATACCTTACCATACCTTACCATACCTTACCTTTCCTTACCTTACACGTCAGCTTGGGTGTGAGCACTGATGCCTGGGCCTTCGTGGCCGCCTGGGGCCCAATCTCTGCATTTCTGTGGTGGGCTGTCTCCCCCAGCGCTGTTTCCTTTTTTTTTCTCCTTTTTTTTTTTTCCGAACACAGAGAGCCTGATCCTTGATTCCACAGTGAACCATGTCAACAGCAAGATTCGCCTGCCAGAAAAGCAATGTTCGCCTAAGGCCGGGGGACTTGCCTGAAGTGGCAGTGCGCCAAGGCTGCCGAGCTTGCTCAAGTGTCATCAAAGCGTGGCCTTACATTAGTCTCGGTGGGGATAGATACCATGTTCTTCCGGCACCGCGCGCGTTCCGTTGTAGCCCTTTCTTTGTTCCATGCGGGGTCGGTGTGGCGCCGCCATATTGCTCATCTCTCTTCCCTGGCCATTCGCGCAGCTTTGATTTTCTTTCCGGCCATGTGTGTTGGTACCTGCCAATCTCCTGGCGCAAGCTTGTCTTGGAAGCCAAGTCCTCTTCTTAGGCAGGAGTTTTGGTTTTGCAAGAAGGACAGTAGACAGTAACTCTGCCAGGGGACAAGCCGCGAAGTTTGCACTTCCTGATTGCGGTAGCAGTCCGGCAAGGTTGGCAGAAGACGTGCTATGTCTGGCACGCTGTCGCTGCCCAGAAAGGCGTTCGCACGCAAGCGCGGACAAGCAGCCTGCGTTTGGAGCTTCCAGGCTTGGTTGAGACCCCTTCCACGACACATGCGGCGGGGCATCGCGTTGCGAGGAGCCCTGCAGCTCTGGCGGCGCCAAAGCGCGCTTCAACAGTGCGTCGCGGCAGGGGCAACAGCAAGCTGAACTTCAGGGGCGCTCCTGATGAGAATGGCAGGGATGAAAGATCTTCTGTTAAGAAGGGCAGGACTGAAGGGTCCGGGCCCTTGGGGTGATCCCTTGGAAAGCCTGAGCCGCGCCCCTTTTTGGGGCTTGGGGCTGCGCGAGCGAGAGAGACCTGCAATCGGATTGCGCTCAGATTGGCGTGATGCTGGGTTGTGATTGCCACACGCTGGCCAGACCTTTGCTTTCATCGCATTGCGTTGCAATACGTTACATGACATGAACAAAAACAGTAGCAGTGACATTGACACGAACGTTAAGACTACAGAATCTGCATTTCCATAACGTTTCGCTTACCTTACTTCGCATCATACCACATTAATTCAATTGCAGTGCGTTGCATTGTGTTGCCTTATGTGACGTTCCATGACAACACGCCGCGCTACATTGTATGCGTGAAAAACATTTCGCACATTGCGCTCGTTGCATGCAAGTCTGCGCGCATACGCAGATGTGGCGTAAGCCTTTGGAGGCTCATCTGGGGCTTGAGCAGGGCAAATGTCCGGAGTCCGAGTGATGTTCCAGGAAGTATGTTGAAGGGTTCTGGGGCACATCGCATTCACTGCGGTCGAGTCAGGAGACCCTGGATCGCCCAAGCCCGCGTGCAAGAGTGGCAGCTTGGTTGAAGAGCCTGCAGCGCTTGTGAGTTTCCAGGTCAGCTATACAATCCGCAATGTCAATGTGTTGCAAGCGTGGAAGCTTTTCATGAATTATACTCCGGAGTGATGGGTAGGTAGCAATGAAACATGATAACTCTCCCACCCATCAGTTCGTGGGTTCCCTTTCCATAATTTATAGAGAATGCCACGTCAAGTCAATGGACCTAGTTTTTCACCCTGCCGAGGATCTGAGTGATGCGTGCGCAGTGGCAGCAAGCTATGATGGCACCGCGGTCTATGTTGCCGGCCGGAGTCTGGTGACCCGGAGTGTCGATGTGCATGCAGCGGATGGGCGTTTCCTAGAAATGGAGTTGTCGGACGGTTTGCAAAGGAGGCTGTAAGGAAACAACCATTTGCGGGGTCCAGCGTTTTTGAAGACGCAGGCATAGACGGACTTGGAACCACCCAACGCTAAGTGACATTTAAGCTCATGATTCGCTGTTCAAGTTGCCAGTCGATTGATTCTTGTTGCCGGCCCTGCAACTCTAAACCAAAAGAGATCGAATGGCTTCAAGATAGCAGAAGAACATGCCTGACTCTCAGGCAATCGATGGATTTCAGGATTGCGTAGTTGATTAAGGTTCACCAGTACCACCTTGGGCCCCGCATCTCGTTGCATTCGCGTGCCTAGTGCGACACCCGTGCTATGCACATAGATGTGATTGCCCCAGCGGGTGGCTTCTCGTGGCCTGCAGCCATGACCCTTCCCAAAAGGGTTAGACACGAGTGGCAGCTGAAAGTGGGGCTCGAGTCTGCAGCCCATTCTGGCACAAGGATGTATTTTGTTCATTTTTTCTTTGCTTTTTTTGATTTAGTTGCTGATTCTGGACCTCGCACGAATTCTGAGTTCAGCTTGAGGTGGTTTGAAGCGCTTCGACCTTCCGGATTTGTGCCTTGGCATGCGGCTGTGAGTCTGGCTGCGCGTGTTGGATGGGAAGCTGCTTTACCGGGTTCGGATGATGTGACCTATCGGAAAGGGGTTTGAATTGTTGGTATGTCCAGCCAAGGAGAGCTTGGGCTATCAGATTTTGCGAGATTCACATTGCACAGGGTGATCAGCTTACTGTGAAGGTTTCGGCGGGTCTTGTTGGCACATGCATGTACGGGATGTGTTTCTGGGATCTCTTGCTGGCTTGGTGTCATCTGCTTTTAAGCTGCTTGAATGGGGCTCAGGGCGCCACAAAGCCTAGGTAATCGCCTTGTGGCTCCACCATGTATAGGTCGTGTACCTCAGTGCCCCTTGAGGTTTCCCAAGTCCCGGTTAGCAACGTGCCAACTGTACCAGATGTTTTTTTCACCAATGACAACAGTCCGGTGAGGATTGACCACCATTTTGCAGGGTTTTCTTTGGCGACTCTGTGCGAGGGTAAGTTTTGGTGACGCAACGTGCGACACCAAAACTACCGGTGCCCACTTTTCTGTGGTCACTTGAGGCAACTGACGGCCTCAGCGCCGTACAAGGGCACTGCAGAGCCTGCCGGCTACGCAGACGTGGCGGCAGGCAGGAGCCATCAGCGCATACAGGACTATCCAGGTGAGCCCCAAAATTCGTATGTGGCCTCCCTCAGCTACAATGTTGAAGCCAAGCGCGTAACCCGTCTTCCGAGGCCCAATATATTGCCAGTTCAACGTTGTATCAGGGGAGGGGAGGCCGCAGATGTCATGTCGCAGTGCTTCTTTTAGTGGATCGCGCTCTCTGTTTGTCTGCTCCGCACTTGCAATATTTAGGGCTTCAACTGTAGTACCGGCATTCATTGGGAGTATAGAGGCCTTAAAAATCCTTGATAACTGGTGGCACCACAAGTTAATGGGATTTGGGCGCTACTCACGTGTTGCGAGCAAGTAGTTTGATCGGGCATGTTCCTAGCCCAACCCTCCCTCGTGACTTGGGTACCATCCCTGGCAGGTGGTTTTGAATGGGTCTCAAGTCTCGGTGTGTGTGTGTGTGTGTCAAAGTCAAATCATACTGGGAATGTAGACAATTGCAAACGTTTCTCTTTGCAGGATGAGAGCCACAAATGGCGGAGTTTAGAGAGAGAGAGAGAGAGAGACTGCGAGAGAGATGCACACAGAGAGAGAGAGAGAGAGAGCGAGAGGGCGAGCGAAAGAAAGAAAGAAAGAGAGAGAGAGAGAGAGAGAGAGAGCGAGAGACAGAGAGCACGAGTGGGAGGGAGCGCAACATTTGGATTGCACGTATCCCGACTCCTGTTGTTTGTCCAAATACAAAGATGTCGTGTTTCCAGTGCGGCTCTAGTTGAACCCACCAGATGGACGCCACCTTCTGCGCTGCCATGTCGTCAGCTTTCATGCGGGAGCCCAATGGTTTGTTTGCTGGACGTGGTCAAGTCAGTGATTTCAGGAAAGGGTCTGCAAAGCAAACTGCAACAACGGAGCACCCCAAAACCTCCGGCTTTGTTGGACTCTGAAGCTGAAGACCTCCAATTTTCAGAGTCGCTCACCATCAGGGTTTGGATCCAGGTGACGGCTTCGTGGTGTGTGTGGACCTCGATGGCTGCGTCTTTCGATTCAGCAAGATGTGCGGGGCCCCGGGCTTTGGTTGGCGTGCGGGGCATCGGCAGCCACTTGGACCTTGGGTGGCTTACTCAGGGCTGGTTGGATTAGCTTGGATCTTGCCGAGGCTCAGTTTGGGCTTCATTTCGGCTCGGCAAAGGGCAGACATCCAGGAACAAAAACAGCTCTAGGAACAACAGCACCCGCCGGGAAAACACACACCTCGGAGGAACGTCAACGAAACCACTTCTTCCAACATGTGCCTCATGCTCCTGTGGCTGGAGGCATATGGTAGTCTACTGTTTCGGGATCGCCCGAAGTACCCGGCGTGTAGGGGAGACCTGAAAGAACAAGTTGAGGCTTGATGGGGAACACCCTTAAAAAAGTGGTTGACATGAATTCCCACATGATGTCCACAGTGTCCAGCCAATTCACGTATACCAGCGAGTCAGGAGTCAACAGAATGCCCAAGTTGCATGAGGGAGGCAGTACCCAAAATGCCAGGTGCGAGCTGCAGGCAAAGCGGGCTTATCAGCCCTCCGTGGTAAAGCACTCGCAGGCTGGGGGGAGTTTGCTGGCCGTTTTCTGGCCAAGAACGCCAGGTGGGCAAGAGTATTTTGATTGGTTCGGTTGGACCCTTTGGTGGGCAGTGGTCATGTTGTGGTTGGAATTGAGGAAGAGAGATGGCTGTGGCTCAATGGCGTAACTCCCCGACCACCCCTCCCCCCAATGTAGAAGAAGGAAAACAACGGACGTCTGTATTTTTCTGGGTCCTTAATCTTTCCGGAACACGGCTTCCGTGTTGGCTCAAAGGCCTACCGGGGCAGCCGCAACAAGATGAACAAAGCAGCCCCAGCAGAAGAGTGGGGAGTTAAAGGAACCGTTTTAGCAGAACCTTTGCCAGTTGTTGCAGCCCCTCTTGTCCACAATACGTTGGGACCGACTCGCTTGCCCAGCACCTAACAGCACAACAAGCTTCTTGTCGGAATAGAACGAGTGAGGGCTGCACACTGGCACATGCTTTGACAGATGTGTTCGGGCCCTGTCTCAGAAATACCCGCTTCCCGCTCAGACTGACTTCTCAAAACAGTGAGTGCCAACACTTGAGCTGATGCGTCCAAGAGGGAAGACATACTTGGCCATGGCGTTCAATGGCTGGAACATCCTCCACAATGTTCAATTGAGACAAATTGTAACATGTTCCCAATGTCGGCGGACAGGGTCCAAAGAGTTAATTGTTTACATCCTATCCCCTCTCACGCGGGGCCCGTTGGCAAAGTTGACATCTAAAGGATGGGCGGTTGGCCTGCGTCTGACGCTCGAACGCCAGAGCTTAAAGAACAAAATGGATCTGGTTCTCAAAATGGGGGAAGGGGGGGGGGCCCTCCGTTCTTCTGGTTTCGAAGCCAACCCAACGGTGACGTGTTGGTCGCTGAATTCTCAGGGCTTGTATCTTAGAAGCTTGAAGGAAAGTATTTTGGATTGGGTTCCCCCAAACGTATCCATGGGCCTTTTTTTAAACACTTATAGCCAGGCCGTCTCGCCTCCCTGCGGAGTACGTTGGGTGTTGTCAGGGCCAAGTTGGAGCAAAAGTCCAAAAAAGGGCGGGCTCACAGGGGTTGGTTCCCTGAAAACCGCTTAGAACATATCACCTCCTCCTGTACCTGACAACAACCAGATCTGCAAACCAACATTTGCCAACCCCAACCAACCTCGCTTGTCTCCAGCCCCCGTTTTCCCCGTTCGGGGGGGGGGGGGTCTTTTTGCCACCTTTTCTGAGAACATGGGCGACCAACACCCCCAACAAGGAATGCTTCACTACAAGGGGCTCGATCATTTTTCCACCAAAGGCGGCAACAAAGCGACCCCCCCCCCCCCGGGCCCCCCCCTTTTCCCGGTCTCCGCCAGCGCCTGGTGGCGAGCCAGCTGGAGCGCTCTGCTGTCCCGGTGTTGGGCCTGGAGGGAGGGCGGCCCAAGCCGCGCTTGAGCCGAAGCTTCTTCGTGATTTTTTTGGTCCTTAGTTTTTACCTGTGACTTGAAAACGGCTGTGAAGTGTTGGGCGAAAGAAACAAAAAAACAACATCGTTTCGGGTTGGTTTGGAAAGAAAAGAACCGGTAGGCCCATCTTTCAGATCAAGGTATCCATGGACCCAAAGGGTAGCAGTGCTTGAGACTTGTTCACTGTGATGTGAAAGATGGTTGTGAAGTATTGGGCGGCCAAACAGACCTTCAAAGGGGTACTCTCAAAGCACCCATACTGCCTCAAGGAGCTTGCTGTTCAGAGAACCGTTCCATAAATGGCGGGTTTCGCTGCCAGGACTTCTGCTCAACCACCCGCAAGTTGGTGCACTCCAGGGTTCCAACCTCTTTGGCACCCAGATGTGGATGGTTTTCCAGAAGCCCGAAAGGCCCTGCGGAAGGACCCTAGGACCCTCCGCTTTGCCCTCATAGGTGTCCTTTCCTCGGTGGGTGAAGTGGGGCTGTGGACTTTCTGACATTTCTGTCTCTACAAAAACCCTCGTTTTTTTTTTTGGCGGGGGGGGGGGGGGAGAGGGCGGGACACGGTTTAAGCAAGGGAAGCCACCAACTGCAACAAAAATCTGGGGCGTCTCAACATGGGGGACCCTCCCTAAAGGTTGGTTCACTTGAAAACGCAACCCCACAAACCGCGCAAAAGATGATTACATCTGGCAGCTGGAAACAGCGGCTTTTCCACCAGGCAAGATTCGGGTGGATGCCATGAGAACCGTAAGAGGGGGTTTACAAACTCCAAAGGCGATAGCTGTCCTTCGCTCTCCGCGTGCCGGTTTGGGGATCCCTTGCCAGGAGGTTGTTTGCGGAAGCCCATGAACGGAACACTTAGCGAAAGACATAAACACAGGGGTGGAGTCCGTGCGAGTTTTGACGGTTCAGACATCATTTCATTCCTGAAGGCAGCCCATGCCATATTTTTTCAACAAGTATATTTTGAGCGCAGAGACGGAGCCAAGACAATGCGTGCCAATGTGGAGATTCGTGGAGGGTGACATTGGGCATCGGTCAATCTTTTTCACGATTTAATGGAAGAATAAACCAGAAATGGCAGAAATGGTCACCTTACGTTTCCAGAGCGTGGGAGTTGGCCAACCCAAACTCCTTTCATGCGCAATGAACCGCAGTTCTCATCTTTTCTCTTTGAGTCGGTGTCCTTCCAATAGGCGCCTTGGTTCAAGAGCTTCTAATTCTGCCAACTTCGCCGCGCCAGCTTTGGCGGGGCCTCGCGGCTGGCAGCCAGCAGCGGCTTCGTGTACCTCGGAGGTAGCGAGTTCGCGAAAAAAGCGTCGAGTTGTGTCTCGACAAGTCCCGATATTTGTCCAATGGCCTTGGCTGGAGCATCACCTTTTGGGGCGTAAAGTGATTTTCCTTTGGGGGTGAAGCCTGACTGTGTTGGTGGAAGCCGCCCCAATTCAGTAGTCTCATCTTCAGTCTCATCTATCTGGAGGGGTCGGGGCCCAAAGCAGCTCATGACCAGTTGCGCACACAAATGAGTCTATTGGCCCCGTATTCGGGAAGGATCCACACTCTGACGGCATTTCAAGCAGCCAGGTTGCGACGGCGTGGTCACCACATATGCCGCAGGCGCGTGACGGGCGCGTGACCGGCGCGTTGAAAACCCCACTCTTCCGATTGGACAGTTGCGAGGGTTCCGGGCTTCACGGGTTCTAAGGTCCAATCCTTAATCCTTACCATGCTGGTAGAGCCAAACTTGCTGGTGCTCGGTAGGGAATGACCCAGGGTTTTGAACCGCAAGGGGATTCCCTTCAAGAAAACCATAGGGGATGGGTTATAGGGGTCATTCCATTCTCATTCCCTGCTGAGAACAAGCAAGCAACTGTCACTGGGTTTTGGGGGCACCCGGATCCTCAGGCACTTTGAGCCTTACGTCACGCTGCCGCCTGGGGACCGCTGGTATCCGAGCACTGTCGGGATGCTCAGGGCGTTTTTTTTTTTTTTTTTTTTTTTGTTTTGCGCCTGGAGACGGCTGAAACCCTAAGTTGGTGGCTACTTGTGTATATATATATACATATATATATGTATATATATGTATATGAGAAAGTAATCTTTTGACTGACCCGGGCCACACATTTTCCAAGTCTAGTGTTGTGAAGGTCAATACACATCTTTGACGTTTCGAGTCCAGAATATTTTGGCCAGCGCCTTCCTTTCAGAAGCAGTATTTTACCTGGCAGATTCAATGTGGTGTGCTTCACTCCCAAAGAAGTGATGACAGTTCCCTAAGATGGGTTTGGTTCCCGCAAGAATCAACCAAGGGTTTACGAAGTTTGGGTTCATGGGGTGGGGGGTGCATGGCAGGGTTGGGCAGAATTCTCTCACCCTCCCGCTTCTTCTTTCTATTAGGGAAACCCCCCCAAAAATGGTTCAAGCCATGGATGTTTCAGCAAGGGTTCAAACCAGGTGAGCGATGAAGCTTAGTAAGGGACAATCCCAACCATAAATAGCTGCGGCCGCCTTCTTAATTCTTTACATGGTTCGGGGTAGACCATTTTAATGCCGGGTTTTGATTATGACTCATTTAGGTGTGTTTTCTTTAACATATATATATATATATCCTTTTTTCTTTTGCATGGTTTTTTGATTATGACTCAGGTTTATCAAAGAGTAGAACCCGTTCTAAGGGGTTGAATCGAGGTCGTGCCTTGGACAGGTTCCTCTCAGCCTACCAACGCCTGTACTGCGCGGAGCTCTCCTCCGTGCACGTCCTCGCCCTGCCCGGCATGTATGAGGCGACCTGACCGACCGAAATTTTCGGACCGGTGTGGCGGAACTGGGATCTTTTTGGAAAGCGGAGGTGAGGGTGGTCAGGGGTTCCTTGCTTTTTTTTTTGGTGTGTGTGTGATTTTTTTGTGGGGGGGACCCCTTTGTGGTGATGTTTTCTCCCGACACTGTTGACCCGGCGATGAGAAAAAGGAGGGAAGACCACACCGATCAAATCGGGATAGGAGGAAATGAGGGGCACTCGCGAAGGTCCCCAAAACACCAGCGGACCCACGAATGGTTCAAGGTCCTGTACAGCTTCTGACAGCCACATATTTAGAGTGTTGCACATTACATATTTTTTACATATAAAGCTGCATTGTTGGGGGGCTCTCCCCAGAATGCCAGGTAGTTCGCTTTGTCAGAGCACTGCCTAATTGTTTTTCAGGGACAACTGGCGTTCCCTGCCTGTTTGTTTGCTTTACATAGGCGTGCTTTGTGGAGGACCCTTCAGGAACGTTCAAAGGGAAGCCAAGGCCAACATATCCTTTTTCACTGCTGCCTGCCCGCTTTTTGGGAGTTTCCACATCCTGTTTTGGTGTCAGAGGCAACGGCTGGTGTTCCCATTAACCCGGCCCCGCCCAGCTTGCGCGGCTGCGGGGCGGGCCCCGGGTGCCGGTGTTCGGCAGCATCAGCGCGGGAGCCCGGAGTTGCTTTCAAGTGGAGCCCAACGAACCAGCCTTCTTGGTTTTCATTTTGACAGACACACACACACACACCCATGTCTCTTGTCTTTTTGGAGTTGCCATGATTATGGAAGCGAAGGGTTTGGGAAGTGGACACAAGGGCTTGCTTGGAAAGTTGGTAGCAACATGTAAAGAAGACGTTGGTACCTACTTCTGGATGGGACCATCCCTTGCCACTCTTCGTCTACCCAGGTTTCAATCCTATGGTTGTCAGGGCCATTGAAAGAGGGGGGACCCCCAAAAAAAGAACTCAAAGGAAACCCTATAAGCCCCGAATAGACCCCAATGTCAACCATGGATTTAGTCGAGCGTAGTGGATTAGTTGAAGGGTTTTTCCCTCACTTGTGTGAAGGATTCCATGTTAAGTAGAGGTTTAATCCGGATCAGAAGTAGGCTACAGAAAGTTTGGGGAGGATGAGAAGAGGGGACTCCCCAAGTTTCTCCACCAAACCAGAGGGAACCGGGGCCGACTTTTTAGTGTACTCTCGATCTTCCAGAAAGGGTGCCATCAGCCAGTTTCAGGGGTGTTCGAAGAGGGGCCCCGACTAACGAGGGCACCAGGGCCAACAGTTGGGACGTTTTTTTTTCTTCCTTTTTTCTTTTGAATTTTATAACGCTCACGTGAGGCTCATTGACAAAGTGTCAGGACAATTCTACAGCTATGAATTGTAATGGACCAAACGGGTTGGTGGACACAATTCCAACCAATGTACTTCTGGTGTCCACCCATGGTTGCCCCTTAAAAAGCCTAAATACAAAAACATACCCAGATTCGAGTCCAAGCAACGGCATCAGCCATGCCTATGAGCAGTCCTGAGACATTTGAAGAAATTTGGGTGGCACATTCTCTTGACCCAGGCGCCGTGGTTGAGAGTAGCGCTGGGTGCGGGCCATAGATGTGCACAGGGCCGCAGAGGGAACTGAGTGAAATGGTGAGCATAGGGTGTCCTGTGGAGGGCCATTTTTCATGTATTTTTTTCTGCTTCTTTTTTTTCTCGTATTTTTGTTTTTCTCCGGGCTGGGCGAGTTTTTGCCAGCTTTTGGCTTTTTGGCTTTTTGGCTTTCTGGCTTTTTGGTTTGGCGGCTTCTTGGATCCCGGGTTCCTGTCAATTTGTCTCCTTTGGCTTTTTGGCTTCTTGGTTTTTTTCATTACGCACTTTCTCCATTAGTGCCTGTATTTGTTTCAAGACCTGTACAAAGCCTAGCCTCCCACGAAACCCACCCTAAAGCAACCCCAAACCAATGCTAAACCCACCCTAAACCAGCACAAAAAACCCAAACTAAACCCAAACTAAACCCACACTCAACCAGCTCTAAACCCCAACCATCCGGGACCCTAAAGCGCAGCCAAACCAACCAAGCCCCCCCCCAAACTTGCTCTAAGTGAAGCCCGCTTAAACGAAAGCCAAAGTGATGATGCTGTTGAAAAAGCAAAACTAGTGCACTTCGCTTGCACATGCGGTAAAATACCGTGTTTTAGCACCCGGAATGAAAACACTACGAAAAAAAACAACAACAACGAGGCATAATTTTGAATTCACAAACTTCTTTTTCAGAGGTTCGTAGGCACTGGGGTCCGCTTGGTTCCACTCCTTGCCGTCGATGTTTGGCCGCCCATGGGACGCGCGTCCGGTCAGGGACTATGCCTTCGTAGCAGACGTGGGGGGCCCGCGGGGCAGCCCAGCGATCTGAGCCGATTCTTGCGCACTGCGATGGGCGAGTCTGAGCCCCAGAAAGGCAGGTGGTTTCCTTTGAGAAAAAGCCCTGGGTTGACTTATTTTCTCTCGTTCCCTGAGCATCAGCAAGTTATTCAGCACTGGTGCTGCTGTTTTGCCGACTGGGGGAGAGAGCAGGGGGCCTTTAGATTCCCTTTCACCGTTTGGGCGAGTTGCTTGCGGGGTAAAACATGTTTCCTTGCTTTAGTTCAGGTTGGCGAGTTTCGTAGGCGCAGATGTGTGGGGTGATGCCTGAAGGAGGCATGTCCCAAGTCCACTTCACTTGGCCCCATTTCACCCACCTAAACAAACCTCGAAGGTCTTCTTTTTGCAGGATCATCTTCCGCCAACCCAGTTCAAGCAATTGGGTATTTGGAAGGTTGGGGATTCTGTACCCCCCCACCAGGTAGAACCCAATTCAATTCCCGCCTCTATCTGGCCCATAGGAGTGTGGAGGCTGACCCGGGGTGACCCTGGATTTTCCAGCTTGGCCGTTTTTGTTCGGCCCTAAACCAGAGCGACCCCTTTCCGCTATCCCGAAAACCACCCACCAGCAACCTGGAGGTACAAAAAGCCAGATTACTTACTTGAGTTGTAACTGGAAGCACGGGAAATGGTTTGGACGTCAGTCCCAAAATATGGCTGAATCAGAGTTTCCAAACCAGACGGTGCAGACCAACCTTTGCAGGTTTTGTTTTCTTTCGGCGCCAGGGCCATCCATCTCTGGAGTACCAAGACCTGGCAGTGGCTCGCACGGGCGGAGCTTCCGCAAGGCGTTGGCCCGGTTTTGATTGTTGTTTTGAGCGAGAGGAAAGGCGTCGCTCCAGATCATGGAGCCCAAGAATGAATCCATTTCATTGTATCGATACTTTTTTTTTCTTGTTTCTTCTTTCTTCTTTCTTCTTTCTTTCTTTCTTTCTTTCTTTCTTTCTTTCTTTCTTTCTTTTTTGTTTTGATTGTGAGTCAATCATCGGGACATCGAGATGGGTTTACCTTTGGTCTCCTCTTATCGATCCCAACAGGGGTCCTTAGTTTTGACACTTTGCAATTCTACGCGGAGGACGAGAAGGGTCTCGCTTAAATCTTTCCACACAAATCGGGGTATAGCTGCCCCCTTGTCCCCATGCCCTGTGGAATCCTTTGTTTTTTTGGGCGTTAGGACTCTTGAAGGAGACAGCTTGGCTTCTGTGTGGGTTGTTTTGGATACCGAAACCACCAGCGTATTTCTGGAAAGTGCTAAACGAGCGTTGAATGATTGCGCAACAATTAGTGGAATCCGCAGTGTCGGCAAACATGTTACTGGGGTCTCCTAAAAGACTATTAGTTCTTTACATGTTTCTTGGTCGACCATTGTAGTACCGGGTTTTGATTATGACTCAAATAGGGAAGGTGCCCAACATCCAAACCACCAAAGCACGCCCATGCGCCGGAATTGGCTCAACAGCGGCTGCTGGCCTGGCCTTGAACCGCACCGGCGGCAGCCTCGGCTGAAGCGACCTCTCAGCTGAAATCAAAGCGAGGGGTGCGCCAAAACCGTTTTGGGATCCCATCTTGGGGTAGGTTCACCACCCATTTTAGAACCAATTTTAGTGGGGATTGGGATGTTAACTGGGTGTACGATTTGGATTTTGACCCATGGCCAAGTGAGGGCTGCTCCAGAGAGTGGACCCCCGGTCCGTTGGTAGTCAATCGGACGCCAACGGAACTTATCCATTTTCGGGAACGGCTTTGAGAAAGCGAACGGAAACCAATTTCCTCACATGGATTGACTTCTTGGGTTTTGTGTGTCCTGTTTGTTGGGAACCACCTCTCCCTTTGAAAGCTTGGGGTGATGTTAGGGAAACATAGGGAAACCAACACAAGTGCTTACACGTCTAGCTGCAAGTTGACTTAGTCTTCCCTTGTCCTCTGGTCTTCTAAAGCTGGCGGCTTTTTGGACGTGCTCTGAGGTTTAGTCTACCTCCTCAGCATCAGACCCGTCACCGTCAGTCAATGCTTGGCAAGACAATCATGACAGGTTTCAGACATGAGCCCTCACCAGTCTACAAACAACCAGCCAGAGACTAGTTGGCCAAGAAGTCTTGCCAAGCATTGCTACGTGTCGGCTTGACTTCGAGATCTCTTGTGATGAAGTTTGGCAAACAGCCTGGCTCTCAGCGCTGTAGCTAGGAAGAGTCATTCCCAAAGATCTGAGATCAAGTTCGGTTAAGCAAATTGCTTTGGGTCCCCAACTTGAACCCAGGGCTTCTGGAAATCAACTTGGTTGGAGTCTACCCCGGGGTTTTCCTGCCTCTCCGGCTGGCTTTCGTGCATTCTCACGGAAGCTGTGCCGCTTAAGCTCTATCTTGGACTGTGTCGTTTTGTTTTTTCTCTCGAAGTCAGAAAAGTCGGAGACCTTTGAAAAGGGTACCCCACAAAACGACACCCACAGGAATATCTGCACTCAGGCTGCAGGAGGAGCTTCGAGCAGAATGGTGCAAGTGCGTCCGGCGGAATTGACCCCCGAAACGTCTTGCAATACATGGGCCCCGGGCAGTGTATGGTACATGTCATCCAACCAAAGAGCCTTCATACATATATATATATATATATGATATATATATATATATCAGTATTTGCTGGTGCGGGATCTCCATTTGTGGCATCGGACTGCTTGGGTGCTGTGGCAAGAGATCTCGCTTGCAGTCCGACAGTCCGACCCTGCAGCACAGGCACTATGTGGACTACAAAGTTCTGAAGAAGGTGCAACTTGAAGAGTGTTCACATTCTAGGTCCCCCAGTAGTGCCCTTCTCTCCCCTTTTTTTGGAGCTCAATTCCCCTACTAAAATAGACTACAGAAAGAAGTTGGTCCCCTTATTCTAACCTCTCTACTGGAGGACCTAGCATTGCATGTGTGAGATGTTGGGGATGCATCCTTCCTGACACAAGCGATAACTTTGGCACTGCAATTGCTGGTGCCAGGCCACGTCATCGTGTTTTTCTTATGCTTTCGTTTTTGAAGCGCATGTTGGAAGTCAAGCGCGTTGGCAAGTCAGCTAGTCTACCAGTTAGCTTGGCAGTCAGCTAGTTCGCTGATTCGCGTGTGCGCTGGCTAGTTTGCAGGTAGCTTCCTAGTTGGCCAGCGAGTAAGAAGGTTTGCTAGTTTTGCTAGCTCAGTTAGCACTCAGCTAGCAAGCGAGCTAGGTAGCTAGTTCACTTGGCTTTCTTCATTAGCCTGGTGAGGTATTCGGCTAGTTTGCTGCTTAGCTAGGTGGTTAGATAGTCAGCTAGTTAGCCAGCGAGTTAGATCGTTTGCTAGTTTGCTTGCCAACTAGCTAGCACCAATCCGCGGGTTTAGACGCTCGACCAAATCAAATCCCGCACAGGCTTGTGCGAGCGAATGGATCAACATTCAGCAAGACACGACCAGTTTGTTGAAGGTCGACAGAGGTACGTCGAGGGGGCTTCTCCAATAGGACATTGAAACACCCTCATTTAAATGGACATGCATTTTCCTGAAATATATAACATTCGGCTGAAAGTAGATGAAACATTCGTGATGGCACAAACAACAGACACGCCGGAGGCGAAGCGTAACTTTGCAGCACCCCAAGCCTCTCGTTTTTGGGATCTTGCTGCAATCTTATCCATGGATGTCTTTGATCCAAGCGCAAGAGCCTGAATCGAAGAAGTCTGCATTTCGGCGTGCAAGTACTTTGGCCTGTCTTCAAGGCTACCCCTCAACCCCAGCTTTGACAGGGACACCACACCTTGGGCCTTTGCTGTTTTGAGCCCCACGAGTTCGGCGCGCGAGGCGCTGAAGCCCGAGGCGCCGGCTGCGGCCTCGAATGAGAGCTGCTGGACACATGGGACCCCAAGTGAGGGAGGACTCGGGTCCCTGGTTGGGCGGCTTTTCTTTGGTCCAGACTGACAGACTGACAGACTGACAAGCACACCCGAGTGCGTTGGCTTTGCTTCAAAGCCTGACAAAGACGCCCAGGTGACAGTTTGAAGTCACCAGGACCAGGGGCAACATGGATATGTCTTTGTTTGAGGCTTGGCACCCTTTTCGGAGGTTGTGTATAGACAAGACGGCGGAACCCAGCCATGGGGGGGCTGATTTGGAGAGCCCTGGATCCTTCCAGGTGTTTTGCCAATCCAAGGGTTCAAACCGTTTTGCCAGCGTGCACTGCGCGTGCGAACTTCTGCCCCAGGCAGTGCCAGCCTTCTTTGACCTCCTCAAGAGTGAGGTGCAAAAGGCGGACACGATGGAGTTTCTCCTTTCTCGTGCCGACTTGCTCAGGTGAATGGCATTTGACACAAAACAAGTGTGTGTGTTTGTCTTGAGGGAACTCTTTTCCGGATCTCTCCCTCGGTATCTCTGTCCTCTTTCTCTGAGTGTGTCTCTTTGTGTTGTGCTCCTGTTCTTGCGTTGTGAGGTGGTGTGTGGGTGTGTGCTTGTTTTTGTGGATATGTTTGTGTGTGTGTGTGCGCTTGTGCTGGCATGTGTGTGCCTGCGTGTCTCTAAATGTGTCTAAATGCGTGCACTTTGTGTCAGAGATTGTGAGCATTTGCTTGCGTGCTTATGTTTGCAAGCTTCTGTGTTTGTCTCTGTGTGTTTGAGATCCAGTACTGGTGGGCATGCAAGTTGAGGTGAGGTGAGGGTGCGTACAGGCGCAAACGAACCTGTTGAAGTGCCTTTGCACGCGTGCGCGTGCCCCATGCACCTGCGCTCGCCGATGATTGTGAGCGGGCTTGTGACGGGTTGCGCATGAGTACAGCTGTGTGTTCACATTCTGTGTCAACACGTGTCGCGGGTGTAAGCGTGTTTCTGCATGCATGCGTCTTTTTGGATGCGCTTGATTGTGCTTCCATAGGTGCGCAGGCTGCGTAAGTTTATGCGTATGTTTTGGATTGCATGTATGTGTGCGTGTGTATTTGTACTTCGGTAGTCTATGTTTGTGTGTTCTTCAAGCTTGCGGGCTTGTGCTGGTTGAACCCTGCAGGCTGACTTGGTAGTATAGGGAGGTTGAGCTTTATACCGTGTCCAAATGCCTATATGATTATATAGCCCTGGACAAGAAATAGCGGCCTTCTCCTTTCCTCCTTATGTGGGATAGCCACCCTCTATTGCCTCCCGTGGAGGTCCATTTGGGTGTCTCTCCAAATAGGGGTGGCTTCCTTGGAGAGAGAGAGAGAGAGAGAGATGTGTGTGACGCAAATGCCCATCAATTTCATTTTCCGCTTTGGATCGTGCTTGTCATTTTGCCCGACCACTTTTCAAGAATATGCCAGTGGTTTAATGCTGCGCTCGCACAGAGGAATTAACCCCAGCGGGTCCTTTGGAGGACTTTTTCATAACTCGAAGCGCGGCTTGACTGACGCCAACCCAATCGATTCTGGTGCATTCCGCAGGTCCAAAGTTTCATCCAGCAGCAACATGAGGCTCTCTGGAAGGCAGGACCGGGAGTCAGGTTCAAGAAGCAAGGTCAATGTTGTTCCTGTGATAGCGCGCACGCAAGCATGATACATTGATCTTGACATGGCTTGGCCTTTGGGATGCCCAGCCCTTGAAAAATACATATTAAAGTTACATATGTATATGTACATGTGCAGATACAGCATACCTATGCGCAGATACACACGCCCGTCCTGCGCAACATCGGAGAGTGAGTGGTGGGTTGGAGGTGGAAAGAAGAACAGCCTTATCATTTATCCTTTGTTTTTCTAAGTTATTCAAGCACATTGTCATGTCTTGCTCAGAGGTGTTTCTTCCACACAAGATGCGGTGAGGTCATGTCTGCTGGCTTTGCGGGTGACTTCAACAATGCGGCAAAGCTGCTGTCTCAGCCGAAAGATGGCGTCAGCAGCAGCGGAAGGGGACCATTGGACCCCTCAAGTCGGACCCGGATGTTCTCCTATAGCCCGGGCCTGGTTTGGGGAGCCCCGAACACGCCGGGTCTCGGTTTGGCTTTTCGCGGTGAAGGCAATGTGAAGTATTCACCGTCTTGGAGACGTTGGTGG